TCCTACATGAGCTTTCTCAAGGTCAACTTAGGGCAACATTTTTTATGGCAATAACTAGGTGACATATAATCAGCCCCACTTGATCCATTAGCAAATTAATGCCGGTGGACATATGTGTGAACTGATTTCACAGCCAAAGTCAAGTGCTCTCTAGTAGTTAAACACGAAGCTGAATTCTTCCCCACTTTCACCTTGGGTAAAAGTGCCTGGCCTCTCTTTTTCCTCAGTCCCCTCCCCCTTGCAAAGTGGGTGTTAACTGGGTAAAATGCATTTGGGCAAAATTCTTGGCTTCTCCAAAATGCAGACTGAACTACTGTGCACAGCCTCTCCCAGGTGGGCAGAAGTGACTCTCTGCATCAATGTGTTTCGTTATTCAAGGGTCCAGGTCCCCACACAGGGCCACATACAGCACAGGTCTGTGTTTGCATGCATGTATACACACACACACACACACCCCTTGCCCCAGGCCCTCTGATTCTAAGCAACCACACTAATCTTAATCCTTTAAATGTGATGATTATTATTATCATTATTATTACTTTAGGTAATTCTGGGAATTCTACTTCCTCCTTCAATTCTCAGCTTGGAGTTCAAGAACAAAGACGACATGCCCTATATGTCTCAGGCCCAGGAAATCCATCTCCAAGAGAAGGAACCAGAAGAACCAGAGAAGCCTACAAAGGAAAAAGACGAAGAAGACATGGAACTGACAGTAAGGAAACACAAAGCAGTTATTCTCCCTGGGGGGCATCCCCTAATCCACTTGTCCCATTCATTTGACTGAAAACATCTCAGACCTCTCGAGGTCAGCTGGCTATTCCCCAGCCTTCTACTGGGTTTAAAGCATTACTAGGTGCTTTCATTTAAGTATTGAGACCAGAGTATTATAAAAGTTTCCTCTCTGTGCAAAAAGAACATGACTTTATAGAGTTCAATTCTATGTGAAATTCTTCAGCTAGACTTAGTGGTGCAGGAAAACCAATGAAATTCAAAAGCACCCTACAAACCCATTGCCGTGGAGTTGATTCCAATTTATAGTGACCCTATAGGACAGAGTAAAACTGCCTCACAGGGTTTCCAAGGAGCAGCTGGTGTATTCAAACTGCTGACCTTTTGCTTAGCAGCCAAATCTCTTAACCACTACGCCACCAGGGCTTCTCGTTTTCCAAATGGCAGTGCTTCATAAACTAGGTAACGTGGCAGACTTCGCACACATGGAGAAGGGAAAGGAGCTCATGATCTGGGAGCAGCCGGCTTCTCCCAGCTGGACCTGTTCTGCTGATCAGAAGCTAAGTAAGGCATTATCTTCTGTGTTCAGGGTCAGGACTCACAAATGCAGAACTAATTGAATTTTGAGGTTTGTATGGAAAGCTTTTATTAGCTTTTTCCTGGTGTAATTATAGAGCATGGATGCTTTGTTCTGCAGGGGAAATGGGGCAGCTGGGCACAGGACAGCTTCCTGCAACCCCTACCCGAGCCGCATGACTGCCACTGGATT